CCAGTACTGCAATGTTAACTGATGAATTTACCCTTTGAGTTTTGGATTTAAATTGGAATTTAAAAACTAACAATGAGTTAACTAACATTTAGAATATACTGAGTTTGTGTCTCGTCTCAATAACAGTTTTTAATCTTAATGAGCTAATTTTTTCTAGTTCAGGGATTGTTCTGATTGATTCCAGAAAGCAACGATTGGAATTGCTACCTTCGCCTGGTAACATATATTATATTGATTTCATTTTTTTTTTTTTTTGCTAGTGATTTTTTAAGGTGTATTACCTGAAACAATATTTTCTAGTGCACGAGAAAATATGTCACAACTGAGGTATGCAAAGGAAAATATCTCATATCACGTCAGTTTTTATTATTAAAAGATTGCTTTGGTAGATACTGAAAAAGGAAGTTCTCCAACTGTTTGCACAATTTTGCAAAAAAAAACAACAAATGGGTTAATTATTAAACCTTCAAAAAAAATTAGCTATCAAATCTTAAAATAATTTCTTTTAATTATAAATCTCTAACTGATTTCAAAGGCTACAGCATTACTGCTATGACAAAAGCGCGAAGAATTTAATGATAGTATTCGTTTCCTTGCAACTTATGCTATTCGTAAAGGTGAGAAAAGCTAAGAGTATTAGTGCAAAAGATGAATTTGAGAATGAGAAAGTAACATATCATAAGAATTGGAGGGATTTTCTGAGGGAGAAGTTCTACTTTAATTGAAATCTTTCCCAAATAGGGACATGTTTTCATAAAATTTTAAACTTTTTACGACAAATCAATAATTGTTTTTTCCCCTTCAAAAAGTAATTCTGCAATAGAGGAACAGTAGATGAAAAAAAAAACAGGAAAAACACCCATAAAAAGGAGGGAGAGAGAAAACGGGAAAATCCACTTCAATAATTTGTTTCATGCCTGATTAAAATATTTCTAAAATTTGAAAACAAACTGAAAAATGACCTTCCAACTTGCAGACATCATCGTCGACAAAGCACTGTTTCGTATAAGAATCCTCAATTGTTGGATCGTAATCTATTACGAAATGTCTCTAAAATTCACTGATACATAAGGCTACATAAGGAATAATTAATAAAGATGATTAGTGATATCATGAGGCTTTTAAATAGCCAACCCAATTTATTAGTACAAAAGAGATAATAGTGATAAGGGCTCGCAAAGAGATGAATGGAATTTCTTCTTTCATCCTCCACCTCCAATTCCATTGGTTTTTCCCCAATGCATTTTTAATAATAGAAAGTTATGATAAATGAACCAAATATCCTTCCTAATTTCCTTAATTAATCAAATCTCATTGCTAATCAGTGATGAATCATAGTAGCTAGAGTGATGTAAGGATATAGGTCGGAATATGAAATGAAATGAAAAAAATTGAAGAGAAATAGTGGAAGATATGATAAGAAGATAATAAAAGACTTTGGGAAAGGAAAAGGAAAAGAAAAAACAAACAATTACTTTACAATGCAAAACCATTCCATAATACCTTAACAATTCTCTGTTATTATTCATTTTATATAGAAATGAACTCTCAAATGACTAATATTCATAAGGATAATTGGAAGAAGAAAAATGTACTGTTTTCAAATTGATAAGCTGTTAACAAAGCAGTTTATGATAAGTACTGTACAGGGGTATTGTCTTTGTTAAGTAAGGATAGAACTGAGAAAAGATAAATTTTGTTCAATTTCGAAACAAACAGTTAATTGGAATGATGAATTGTAGTAGTTGAAATTGACAAGAGATTTTGACAAATCAGTACAGCAATCCCAACTTCCTGGCATGAATATTTAAAAGAAGCTTTCTGTACCTTTCGGTGGTAATTTCTAATTTATATTCATACAGTAACAATTACACACCTGTACAAATTGAATTGTTAAAGCGGATTTGCCAACGCCGCCACCGCCGACAACGACAAGTCGAAGAATCGGAGGTGACTGTTGCTTCTTCCAACGTCCACCGCCTCCGGAGGACATCGAACATTAAAGGTCGTCGTTATTAGGTTACGAAGTTTTAAAACACCTTTAAACTGGCGCAAATATTACACTTAAAAGTAGCATCATATTAAAAAAGATAGTGTTTATAATGCGTGGCCGGCAAAACTTTTCGCTAAGACAACATAGATGATCAATAAGGTGTAGAAAAGGTCAATGAAGTGACATGAAAATGACAATGAACTGAAAATGTACAGTTGTTTCATTTTTTAAATATGCAGAAAATCTGTGTGGAAGGAATTTGAAATAAAGTGGAAAATATTTTTAAACAAAAGTCTCATTCAACATATTTAAAAGAAATAAATTCCCCTCCCAGCAACATCGAGCAGTGATGGATGTAATGTTCTTCAAGTGAGAAAGACAAATCAAATGGATCTAACTCAGCAGATGAATCAAATGGATCACTTTGATTGGTTTCTGAAAGTTCGAAAGAAAATAGCATCAACACGAAAGCCAGGAGATCATAGCCTAGATTATGGTAGTATAAGATCAATCAAAACTGAAATTACTTCTCTTCACGGATAATACAATTGAAATTGAAATTAGAATTAAACTTTATTGTCACTGTATCAACAGTATGTCCCTGTGAAGAACTTCTGCTACAAGTATGACAAATCAACCAGCAGAAAATCCAATTATCTACCTGGCAAATGGTTCAATCATAGCTACAAGTAATAGTTCCGATAAGCCGTAGGACAATTCCGCATGAGGCATTTCATTTCGGTCACTCGTAGCACAGCTCCCGGGGTTGGCATCAACTATTCCGAAATGTATGTTCGATCGAAACGAAGAGGGGAAGTGGAGCTGGGTGGTATATACTGCGCCTTTCTAGTCATCTTTTGTGCTGTGTGTGTGTGTGTGTGTGTGTGTGTGTGTGTGTGTGTGTGTGTGTGTGTGTGTGTGTGTGTGTGTGTGTGTGTGTGTGTGTGTGTGTGTGTGTGTGTGTGTGTGTGTGTGTGTGTGTGTGTGTGTGTGTGTGTGTGTGTGTG